AGGACGAGGATCGCGGGAAGTGAAAAAGAGCGGATCTTTTCAGAAGGATCGGAGGTCCTCCGGACTTCCGAGGAGTTTCTGAGGCCTTCCCCGAAGACAGAGACAACTTGTCAGAAGGCCAGAGGGATTCTGAGAAGTCCCGCCGCCTTCTGAGAAGGTCTTCTGCTTCTCACTTCCCCCCCCCCTCGTCCGCCACCTAGACAACGACGACGACCTCGACGACCACGATGACCTCGATATTTCTGGGGGAAGGGTCTTCCCCCGACCTCTGGGGAATCACGCCGTGAAACCAAAAACACACGGCGTCCGACGTCCGGGACGGCGGCCCTCCCTGGGGGATCTGTGATCCGGGGTCGAGGGCTCACGGCCCCCCCACAGAGCAACAAAGTCGGTGGCGCGCACAGTGGGGGTACGAGGAGGGAGGAAGGCTTCTTAGAAGTCTCAGAAGGAGGCTGCTTCTTAGAAGCCTTCCCCCCTCCCCCTACCCCCCTGCGCGTGGCCGATTACGTATCCCCCCCTATCGTTGCCGCCGCCGTCGTCATTTGTTCAAAACGTTGGGATTGGAACCCTCGGACCCATCATCCCTGGGGCCCGTCCTCCGCCCGGGCGGCTCTTGATGGCCCCGCCACGCTAAAAAGCGGCTCCCTCATCGATGCCGCTGCTTGAAAAACAGGGCTGGCACCAGCTTGGAAGCTTGGAAATGGACACCATCACCAAAACGGGGGCTTGCGTTTACAGGGGGAGGATGATCCTAGATTTTGGTGTTGGTGGTATCTTTCGGGCCCCTAGGAAGCCCAACTATTAGCACCATCACCGAGATTGGGATCAGTTTCCCTCGGCGGAGGCACACTACCGATCTTGGTGCTGGTGCCAACCTCTGGGCCTCCGATCAGCACGCAGATCACGACGGCGGAGGTCTGGATTTGAAACTTGCAGCAGGTGAACAAAACTTAGACCTAGCGTGCAAGAAGCGGGTCCTGAGGGAAAGGGGTCCTGAGTCGTAAATCTGCCCCAAGGGCAGGCTCCACATCCTGAGAATTTCACAAAAAGAGTGCTGCAATTAGAGATTCTTACCTATGGCACTGAGGAATTGGAAGAGTCCCCCGGGGATTTTCCATGTTGCCGCCCGAGGCCGCCTCGTGACCGCCTCGTGCGTCCCGCGGAGTTTCGCAACGTTGCCGCCCGTGGCCGCCTCAAGGCCACCTCGTGCGCTGGGTGGGTTCGGCGAGGTTCCGCAACGTGTGGCCGCCCCGTGGCCGATTCGTGGCCGCCTCGTGCGCTGGGTGGGTCTGGCGAGATTTCGCCACGTTGCCGCCCGTGGTCCATTCGTGGCCGCCTCGGGCGCTGGGTGGGTCGGGCGGGGGTTCGCTACGTGGCCGCTTTGTGCGCAAGGTGGGTCCGGCGTCCGGCGAGGTATCGCCGCGTTGCCGCCCGTGGCCGCCTAACGGCCGCCTCGTGCGCCGGGTGGGTCGGGCGAAAGTTTCGCCACGTTGCCGCCTCGTGCGCTGGGTGGGTCTGGCGAGATTGAGCTACGCCGCCGCCCCTGGTCGCCTCGTGCGCTGGGTGGGTTCGGCGCGTATCTGCCAAGTTGCCACCCGTGGTCGCCTCGTGGCCACCTCGTGCGCAAGGTGGGTGCGGCGAGGTTTCGCCACGTTGCGCCCCTGGCCGCCTCGTGTCCGCCTCGTGCGCTGGGTGGGTCCAGGTTTCGCCACGTTGCCGCCCGTGGCCGCCTCGGGCGCAGGGTGGGTCCGGCAAGACTTCGCCATGTTGCCGCCCGTGGCCGCCTCGTGGCCGCCTCGTGCGCTGGATGGGTCTGGCGATGCTTGGCCACGCTGCCGCGCGTAGCCGCCTCGTGGCCGCCTCGTGGCCACCTCGTAATTACGCTGGGTGGGTCGGGGCAAATTTCACCACGTTGCCACTTATGGTCGCCTCGTTGCCGCCTGGAGCGCAAGGTGTCCGGCGCGATTTCGCCACGTTGCCGCCTCGTTGCCACCAGCAGGCAAGATGAGACAGGCAATTTTCCCCAAACAGGTGCTTGCACTTTGAAATTCTTATACTCTATCTGCTAGAGCAACTGCATGGATCTCCCGGGCTTTCGCCACGTTGGCGCCAGGCAGTGCCCGCTCGTGGGCGCTTGGTGGGCACCAAGTGCGCTAGGTGGGTGTCCCGAGGTTCCGCCTCGTTGGCGCCCGTGCCCGCACACAGTCGCCTCGTGGGCGCCCCGTCTGGGTGGTTTTCCCAAAAATTTGCCGCGTTGGCGTTCCGTGCGGTGGGTGTGTTTCGTGAGGATTCGCCTCGTTGGCGCCTGCTCCCGCGCGTGGGCGCCCCTTGGACGCACTGTACGCTTGCACCGCATAGCTTGCACCACATAGCTTGCAACGCATATCTTCCTCCACATAGCTCACACAGCATACTTCGCTTGCAGAACATATCTTGCACCACCTTGCGTACGCTGATTAGCTTACCACACAGCTCACATCACATATATTACACACCGTAGTTCAAACCATACAAGTGACACACCTAGCTTACGACACCCTGATTACACCATACAACTCACACAACATAGCTCACACCGCCACGTAGCACACACTACATAGTTTACACCACATAGCTTACACAACGTAGATTACACAACATATCCTTCGCTTACACAGTGCAACTGTTTTCTTCCCACGCTAACTAATCCTAATCTGTTTTGACGGTCCAGGCACCCATGCAGGGCCCCGAGAGGCCAACAACGAAGAGAAACCTCAGGACTCGTTTCACTCAGGACCCGTGTGCTTCGTGGCGAAGATGAGCAACGCGCGCCTCACGCAAGGCCTCGACTCCGCACGGGCGCTGGCTGGCGACCCTTCTGAGCCGAGACGCGGCACGGCAGCGCGCGAGAAAGCCCCTGCCGCCCCGCGGCCTGCCATTGCAACCGGATCAGAATCCCTGGCGAGCGAGAGCCATAACAAAAACCCTTCATGACGCTCCTGGTCCGTGCAGTGGTCATCGTACAGCCATCACGCTACAATAGAGAGCCCTGGCCAGCCCCGGCCAGGAACAAGTTCCACGGACCAGATCCAAGGAACGGCCTGAAAACCCAAGACCCTCCCAAGGCCGAAGTGGTCCTCGCTGCATCGCCTTCACTCTATAGCGAGATCCGGGGAAACCAAACGGATACCGCCACTCCCCAGACCTCTCCCGGGGTGTGTTCTGACCAGAACCTCGAGGCGAAGCCAGCGGTGGCGACGAGGGCCTCCCGGGAGGCCCAAAAAAGAGGACACGAGGGCAGGGTAGCGGTATGGATGCCTTTTCCTCCTCTGACTCCTCCGCCTCCTCCTCGTCCGCGTCCGCGTCCTCGTCTTCGTCCTCGTCCTCCCTCCTCCCTCATCTGAGAAGTGACCTTCGCTTCCACGTCCTGACTCTGCAACGAATCGGCCCGCACGGCTGGCCTCCCTGGCACCGCCCGGCTCCGGAGGCGCCCGTGCAGATCGAGGAGAGCGCCCGGCGGTGGGGCCGAGACCAGCTGCGCGCGAGCTGGCCCCCGCGGCCGCCGTGCTGCCCCGAGGCTCCCTCGTGGACCGCTCGCCCGCAGGGCCCCTGCAGCCCGTGGCCTCCCCTGCAGCACGCGGCCTCCTCGGCTCCGCGTGAGCTCCGCTCGGGGCCTCCGACCCTCGGCGGGCCCGAACTGGATCGGAGCGGGAAGCCAGATCGGGCCGGAGCGCGCGCGAGTCGGAGCGAAGCCCGATCGGGGCAGGATGGCTTGGGAGTGCGGATCGGTCACGGCCCCTGTTCGCCGAAACCATGAGAAAAGCGTGAGACATGCGTAGAGTGCTCGTAGATCTACGAACACCCTACGTATGACTCGACGAGAAAAGCAAGTCTGGGGTAAATCAATTCTGTAATCCGAAACGCGGCTTGAACCCGCATGACAGACCAATCACAACTCCAAAGTACCAATTCCCACCATCCGTGCCAGATCTCAACTGGCTGGAAAACCAACTATTACTACTTACAATCAGCCGTATGGATTCGCACACTGGGACTCCGATTGTGGCGCGTTGTAATGACGACCCAGGAGCCATATGCGACTCCTAAATGTAGAACTTTGTGTTGACAGACAAAACGAATGCCAGAGTTGAAATTAGTACAACCTTGCATGTGTCAATCTGGAAGTTTTTTTTTTTTTTTTTTTTTGTTTTCATCCCCGTTCCCCAGAGCCACCCCTGAACGTACTTGGTGAAGCGTTAGAAGCCACACACCCTTCGCCACTGCGCTGTGCAGCGGCTCCCAAAAGGGGGCGATGACCGTGAGCAAGCCAGCGGCCTCGCGAGCCGCCCTGGTGGCGCCTGCCACGGGGCGGCTCCGAGGGCCCCGCATCAGCTGAAACAACTAGCACTGCCAAAGAGGAGGAGGAGGGGGAGGAGGAGGAGAAAAACACAACAGCCTGGCGCCTCCAAGCGTTGGCCACGACGCGGTGCCTCCGCGCTGTCACGCGCAGTCGAGCCTCGAAGTGCTGCTCGACCGTGCCAGGAATGCCGAGACGACGGTTATTGTGGGACGCAACAAACGCATCTATAC